AGAGAGAGAGAGAGAGAGAGAGAGAGAGAGAGAGAGAGAGAGAGAGAGAGAGAGAAGGGCTCTGGCTGCACTGAAGAGCAGACTTTCCTTCATGTTGGAATGATGTCTGCTCCTTCAGACTGTTCTTAACATAAGCTGTGATCACATGTGGGAGGGAGGAGGCACTGGGTGGAGAAGAGTCTGTGTGTTCCTAGAAGGGAAAACGGAGTGGAACGAAGGGCCGTGTGCCTGGAGGTAGGAGAGGGCAGGAAGACACTGGGAACAGAGGGGAGGGAGATGGAGACTGGTGGGGAGCTCTGGGTTTCACCTGAATGGAGCTCCTTCACCAGGGATGACATGGTGTTGGTGATGGAGTCAGCAGCCACCAGCAGGTCATTGCGGAGGTTTCTCCTCGTACCTGAGGAGTCAGAGCAGATGGTAATGCAGATGGGTGAGCATGGCGGAGAGCGCTGAGGGATGCCCCAGCCAGTGAGGCCCTGGAACCCGGGTGCAGAGGCGATTAGGGCAGGTGGGACTGCCGCAGCTCTGCATGCTCCTGGACCGTCCAGTCCACTCCGTCTTCTCCAGCGGGAGGGCGGGAGCCTGTCAAGTCCATGCTTTGAAGGCACCACGGTAGAATGGGGTTCCGGCTTAGCTTTGCCTCAGCACATTCCTCAGTCTCAGGGGGAGGGGCTTACCTGTCTCCATCCCCTCTCCTCAAGACTCCCTTGCCCATTATTTAAGACTGCAGCAGACCCTGGTTCCTCAGTCGGCCGCGTGGCAAGTGCATGCTTACTGCCCTTTGGTTAGGTCCTATGGAGTTACCGCTCTTCCTGTTCTTGCTTATTATAAGGACCTCATAGGGCCAATGTGTGAGGAGGCAAAGCCCAAAGGGAAGGCATTTCCTTCAGTCCAGAGCTTAGAACCCAAGGGGCCAATTACCTTCACGCAGGCGCCTGCAGACCTCCCATGGAAGACCAGCCTATCACGGAGAAGGAGCCAGCACATAACTTATTTATACTGTCAATCTGATTACTAAGGCCACACTATCTGATCATCCGAAGCCAGGAGCACAAAAGGCAAGTGACTCGAAAGATCCTGGCAGGGATCCTGCATGTGCTTTCAGACCCTCAGCTCTCCACAGACGCGCCCGGAACCTCACCTTGTGCAAAGGCCTCCTGGACATCTCCCCCAACTCCACTCAGTGAGTCCTGTGGGCCGTGGGTCGGGGTGGAGCCGGCAGACATGGAACGCACAGGCATGGGCATAGGGCGGCCGCCTCCATGAGTGGGTGATGTGTGAGGTGACCCTGTGGCTTGAGCCTGGGAGGATCAGAGAGAAAACATGTCACCTTGGGTGTCCAATCTCTCTAAGGAAAGGGGGAAAGCACTTCCCGGGATCATAGTTTAAAAAAACAAACAAACAAACAAAAAAAAAAACAGGAGCCAGGACTCGGGAAAGGAAGGGAAGGAAGAGAGAGAAGGGGGCGGCGTGGGAATAAGAACACTGTAAGATCAGGCTGAGACCCCGTACTTGGGAGGCAGGAGGATGGCTGGGAATTCAAAGGCAGCCTGGGCTACACAGTCAGTTCAAAACTACAGGGTAAGAACCTGCCTCAGAAAATCAAAACCAAAAGGAGGGGCTGAGAGAGGCGGGAAGCGCGTGGCAGGGACATCCAGGAGGGTCCAAGAGGGGGAAAAAATAAACAACAACAACAACAAATCCACCAACATCCTCGTGTCTGCAGGCCAACATTCTGTACCCATTCTTAGCTGATCCCACAAGAACCCGTGGGCAGAAAGCACCCATCTTTTCATATAACTTGTAGAGATGAAAATCAAGACCACGGGAGAGGCTTCTCAAGAGTGTGGGGGAGGAAGCACAGTTCACCAGAGGCCACGCCAGAATAATCCACGGGCAGTGTGTGCGGTGGTGGTGAGGAGGGCGGCGGTGGTGGTGGGGAGGACGGCGGTGGTGGGGAGGGCGGTGGCAGGGTTTCTCTCTCACATGTGAGATCCAGCAAAACCGCCACATTGCCTGCCACACCCTCCCGGGAAGGTCTGGTTGGGTAGCTGGAGGACCAGGTGAGTGACCACAGGCTCATTAGAGGGGGCGCTTTCCTCAAGAAAGCCTAGCATAGTTTTGGATTTTCCGCCAAGCTTGCTTTTTAAGACAGGGTCTCTTCTACGTGGCCCTGGCTGTCTTGGAATTATGCAGACCAGCCTGGCTTCAAACTCATGGAGATCCTCCTGCCTCTGCCTCCTGAGTGCTGGGATTAAGGTGTGCACCGCGCCCGCCCGGCTGTTCATTACTCTTAAAGACTTATTTTTGACTGGACTCGGACTTGGAAGAAAAAGCTCTTGGCAAGGACGGCCTGCAGTTCTTGGCAATCTGTTTCTGGCATTTCTCTTTGGCTTCCTTCCTTCTCTTGGCCCAAAGCTTAGCACGTTCTGCAGCCTCCTTGTTTTGCTTAATATATTGTTTCTTCAGAGCAGTGGGCTGCGTCTGGGTTGCAGGACACGTGGAGGAGCAAGACGCTGAATCTTGGGTGCACTGGTCCTGGGCGTCTTACCTCCTTTGTAAGAAGGCCTTTCTGACAACACTGGTGGACACCATCTTCTTTAAAGAAACTAAGTTTTCAGATTCTGCTAGCTCTCTTGGGCCCCAACCACAGAGGCACAGCATGTCTGTCGGTCCAGGAATATCCTTCTCTCTTAAAAATAACCAAGCTGAGAACAGTCAGACTGTCACCCCCAGTACACTCGGAACAGAGGTGCACATCCCATCCCTAGCTCTCCTTGGTCGGTAACAAGAACGCCACTCACTCCGCTGTGGGTCAACACACCTTGCTTCGCGGGAAAACCCTGTCGTTCACCCAGGGCATCGGCAGCTATTTCTGTGGCCATGCGCTTCTCACAGGAACTTCGATGATCACTTTTATTGCCCACGTCCATGTTTCCAATGGCTGGTTTCGTCTGGACAGGGTTGACCCCCTAAGAAGCAGCTTGGAGCGATGGGGTGTAGCAGCTGGAAGAAGTCAACTCATCGGAGGCCCAGGGGGTCAGATTGGAGGATTTGGGGGTAGCAAAACTGGATGAATAGAAGTAACAATTGAGGACAGGTTCCTGCGAGTCTCTCGGGATTTAGCCCAGAGATGCCAGCCAGCCAGAGTATGCCCCACACGGCTGCCTGGAGGTCTGCACAATGCTTCCCCTCACTGCTGCAGCTGTGTGGGTGCTGAATGGAATATTTTGTTCTCGATGGTTCCTTTTTCTAGTTTGTTTTCTGAGACACGGCCTCAACTTCAAGATCTTCCTGCTGCAGGCCAGTGCTGGGATTTCAGGAGCCTGCCGCTCTGTCCTGTTCTTGATGATTCTTGCTCAACCTTTGTGTGGGGGTATGGTTTTTTTTTTTTTTTTTTTTTTGAGACAGGGTTTCTCTGTGTAGCTTTGCGCCTTTTCCTGGAACTCACTTGGTAGCCCTGGCTGGCCTCGAACTCACAGAGATCCGCCTGGCTCTGCCTGGCTCTGCCTCTCGAGTGCTGGGATTAAGGGCGTGCGCCACCACCGCCCAGCTGGGGGGTATGTTATTTATTCATTAAAAAAAAAAAAGGGTCTTGTTGGGTGGTGGTGGTGGTGGTGGTGGTGGTGGTGGTGGTGGTGGTGGTGGTGGTGGCACACACCTTTAATACCAGGTGGATCTCTGTGAGTTTGAGTGAGTTCTAGGACAGACTCCAAAGCTACAGAGAAACCCTGTCTAGGGAAAAAAAAGGGGGGTCTCATGTACCCCAGGCTAGCCTTGAACTTGCTATGTCACTCAGGATAGCCACAGACACCTGTTCCTCCTGCCTCTACCTCCCAAGTACTGCATTATAGGCATACTGCAATGCCAGCTGTGTGTGTTTTAATTTAAGAAATATAAAAGCTCAGAAAATGATTGGATATAACACCATAAACCACCCCAAGTGAATAATCCCATACAATTTATTTTAATCTAAAAACAGTACAGATAGACTTACAATGCCGTTAACCCCCAATTCTTTGCAGGCTTAGTCCCTTCATCTCTTCCCTTTGGAAACTTCCTGTTTTTTTGTTTTTTTTTTTAACCAGAGATTTTTGGTGTGGACTTTTTTCTTTTACCTATGTGCACATATATAACTATGAATATAATATTTTCATGCCTTTAAATTCTGTATGAATGGTATTGAACTACAATGATTACTTTTAAATTTGTTTCTATTACTTAGCATACTCTTAGCAAGTGATCCATGATACAAATACATATGAATTTAGACCCTTCCTTCACATCACATTAAAAAAACAAACTACACCCCTGAGAAGCAGAGGCAGGCGACTTTTGAGTTTGAGGCCAGCCTGGTCTACAGAGAGTGTTTCAGGACAGCCAGGACTACACAGAGAAACCCTGTCTTAAAAAAACCCCAAACCAAACCAACAGAATAACCTCAAAAAGGAGCAGAATAAATATTAGACCTAATATCGCACAATTTCTCAAAGAAAGCAAAGGAAAATCCTATGCAAAGACTTCTTGAATATAATACCCAAACCATTATGCTTAAATGGAAAAAAAGGAATAAATTTTATTTATTTATTTATTTTTTAAAGATTTTACTTATTTATTATGCATACAGTATGCCTGTATGCATCCCTGCAGGCCAGAAGAGGGCAGCAGATCTCATTATAGATGGTTGTGAGCCACCATGTGGTTGCTGGGAATTGAACTCAGGACCTCTAGAAGAGCAGCCAGTGCTCTTAACCTCTGAGCCGTCTCTCCAGGCTTATTTATTTTTTAATGCATGCATGTTTTTATGCGTTGCCTGGAGAAGCCAGAGATCAATATTAGGTACCTTCTACAATTACTTCCCACTTTATTTTTTCTTATGATGTATTTATTTTTATATGTGTATTTTTATATTTTTTTTAATATGTATGGGTGTTTTGTCTGCATATATATGGGTCTGTGTACCTGGTGCCCAAAGATGAGTCAGATCCCCTGGAACAGGAGTTACAGATGGTTGTGACCTGCCATGTGAGTGTTTGGAATTGAACCCAGGTCCTCTGGAGGAACAGCCAAGTGGTTTTTTTTGTTTGTTTGTTTTAAGACAGGGTTTCTCCGTGTAACAGCCCTGGCTGTCCTGGAACTCACTATGTAGATCAGCCTGGCCTCGAGATCACAAGAGAACCACCTGCCTTTACTTCCCAAATGCTGGGACTGTAGGTATGAGCCACCATATCCAGCATGGCTATTGCTCTTAGCCCCCGAGCCATCTCTCCATCCTCCACCTGAGATGGGGGTCTCTCACTGAACTGGAGTTCACCGGTTAGGTTAGTCTGGCTGGCCAGCAAGCCGCAGGGATGTGATTTCTGCATCCCCAGTGCTGGGATTACAAGTGTGTGCCACCCTGTCCTTATTTTTGCATGCCCAGTGCTTTACCAGCAAGCCATCTCCCTAGCCCATGATACACTGGCTTTTTTTTTTTTTTTTATCAAGTTAGAAACTTTTACCAAAATATCCAGAAGAGAAAACTTCAAATGTTCTTATCACAGGGAAGTATTACTTGTTTATAATGATGGATATAATTATCCATCCAATGGATGAATAAACACTAGTTAATTGATACAATATAACTTAGATCAGGCTATACTGCAAAAAGATGTAAAATTATCATCTTTTGATTAAAAAAAAAACCCTTTGCTTTTCAAAGTACAGTCATTAAACTCCATATGGGCAGATCAACTAAAAAATGGATCAACGATCTACATAAACAAAAACAGAATAGCACTTGGGAGGTGGAGGCAGGCAGAGCTCTGAGTTTGAGGCCAGCCTGATCTACATAGTGTGTGTGTGTGTGTGTGTGTGTGTGTGTGTGAGAGAGAGAGAGAGAGAGAGAGAGAGAGAGAGAGAGACTGACTCAGTGTTAGATGTGCCTGTAATCCCAGAAGTTTGGAGGGGGAGGCAGCAGGGTCTGTGGATTAGAGACGAGCCTCAGCTGTGCCGTAAGCTTCAGCCAGGACCACCTGGGCTGCATGAGACCCTGATCACTGCTGTCCAAGGACTAGAGTTCGGATCCCTACACCTACATCAGGTGGCTCCAAGGGAACCAACGCCCACTCTGGCCTCCATGGGCCTGTGTGCACACACATATAAAATAATAAAACAATCTGAGTGAAAAACAACAACAAGAAAAAGGATATCACAAAAGGGAGCCGAGTCTTAAGATAGAATCTCGGATAAGGGACCTCACCTAGCACAGACAAAGAACTCTCCCGACTCAGTCACAAAAGGACAAGTAATCTAATTTGAA